AAAAACCTTCAAACAGGTAAGCAACAACTCCTGCCTTGTCCCTTAATGCGTTTGTTCACCAGTATGACACAAGAACCTTCAAACAGGTAAGCAACAACTCCTGCCTTGTCCCTTAATGCTTATGTTCACCAGTATGACACAAAAACCTTCAAACAGGTAAGCAACAACTCCTGCCTTGTCCCTTAATGCTTATGTTCACCAGTATGACACAAAAACCTTCAAACAGGTAAGCAACAACTCCTGCCTTGTCCCTTAATGTGTATGTTCACCAGTATGACACAAGAACCTTCAAACAGGTAAGCAACAACTCCTGCCTTGTCCCTTAATGCTTATGTTCACCAGTATGACACAAGAACCTTCAAACAGGTAAGCAGCAACTCTTGCCTTGTCCATTAATGCTTATGTTCACCAGTATGACACAAGAACCTTCAAACAGGTAAGCAACAACTCCTGCCTTGTCCCTTAATGCTTATGTTCACCAGTATGACACAAAAACCTTCAAACAGGTAAGCAACAACTCCTGCCTTGTCCCTTAATGTGTATGTTCACCAGTATGACACAAGAACCTTCAAACAGGTAAGCAGCAACTCTTGCCTTGTCAATTAATGCTTATGTTCACCAGTATGACACAAGAACCTTCAAACAGGTAAGCAACAACTCCTGCCTTGTCCATTAATGCTTATGTTCACCAGTATGACACAAGAACCTTCAAACAGGTAAGCAGCAACTCTTGCCTTGTCCATTAATGCTTATGTTCACCAGTATGACACAAGAACCTTCAAACAGGTAAGCAACAACTCCTGCCTTGTCCATTAATGCTTATGTTCACCAGTATGACACAAAAACCTTCAAACAGGTAAGCAACAACTCCTGCCTTGTCCCTTAATACGTTTGTTCACCAGTATGACACAAGAACCTTCAAACAGGTAAGCAACAACTCCTGCCTTGTCCCTTAATGCGTTTGTTCACCAGTATGACACAAAAACCTTCAAACAGGTAAGCAACAACTCCTGCCTTGTCCCTTAATGCGTTTGTTCACCAGTATGACACAAGAACCTTCAAACAGGTAAGCAACAACTCCTGCCTTGTCCCTTAATGCTTATGTTCACCAGTATGACACAAGAACCTTCAAACAGGTAAGCAACAACTCCTGCCTTGTCAGTAAATGTGTATGTTCACCAGTATGACACAAGAACCTTCAAACAGGTAAGCAACAACTCCTGCCTTGTCCCTTAATGCTTATGTTCACCAGTATGACACAAAAACCTTCAAACAGGTAAGCAACAACTCCTGCCTTGTCAATTAATGCTTATGTTCACCAGTATGACACAAGAACCTTCAAACAGGTAAGCAACAACTCCTGCCTTGTCCATTAATGCTTATGTTCACCAGTATGACACAAAAACCTTCAAACAGGTAAGCAACAACTCCTGCCTTGTCCATTAATGCTTATGTTCACCAGTATGACACAAGAACCTTCAAATAGGTAAGCAACAACTCTTGCCTTGTCCATTAATGCTTATGTTCACCAGTATGACACAAGAACCTTCAAACAGGTAAGCAGCAACTCTTGCCTTGTCCATTAATGCTTATGTTCACCAGTATGACACAAGAACCTTCAAACAGGTAAGCAACAACTCCTGCCTTGTCCATTAATGCTTATGTTCACCAGTATGACACAAAAACCTTCAAACAGGTAAGCAACAACTCCTGCCTTGTCCATTAATGCTTATGTTCACCAGTATGACACAAGAACCTTCAAACAGGAAAGCAGCAACTCTTGCCTTGTCCATTAATGCTTATGTTCACCAGTATGACACAAGAACCTTCAAACAGGTAAGCAACAACTCCTGCCTTGTCCATTAATGCTTATGTTCACCAGTATGACACAAGAACCTTCAAACAGGTAAGCAACAACTCCTGCCTTGTCCATTAATGCTTATGTTCACCAGTATGACACAAGAACCTTCAAACAGGTAAGCAACAACTCCTGCCTTGTCCCTTAATGTGTATGTTCACCAGTATGACACAAGAACCTTCAAACAGGTAAGCAACAACTCCTGCCTTGTCCATTAATGCTTATGTTCACCAGTATGACACAAGAACCTTCAAACAGGTAAGCAACAACTCCTGCCTTGTCAATTAATGCTTATGTTCACCAGTATGACACAAGAACCTTCAAACAGGTAAGCAACAACTCCTGCCTTGTCCATTAATGCTTATGTTCACCAGTATGACACAAGAACCTTCAAACAGGTAAGCAGCAACTCTTGCCTTGTCCATTAATGCTTATGTTCACCAGTATGACACAAGAACCTTCAAACAGGTAAGCAACAACTCCTGCCTTGTCCATTAATGCTTATGTTCACCAGTATGACACAAAAACCTTCAAACAGGTAAGCAACAACTCCTGCCTTGTCCATTAATGCTTATGTTCACCAGTATGACACAAGAACCTCCAAACAGGTAAGCAACAACTCCTGCCTTGTCCATTAATGCTTATGTTCACCAGTATGACACAATAACCTTCAAACAGGTAAGCAACAACTCCTGCCTTGTCAATTAATGCTTATGTTCACCAGTATGACACAAGAACCTTCAAACAGGTAAGCAACAACTCCTGCCTTGTCAATTAATGCTTATGTTCACCAGTATGACACAAGAACCTTCAAACAGGTAAGCAACAACTCCTGCCTTGTCACTAAATGTGTATGTTCACCAGTATGACACAAGAACCTTCAAACAGGTAAGCAACAACTCCTGCCTTGTCCCTTAATACGTTTGTTCACCAGTATTGACACAAGAACCTTCAAACAGGTAAGCAACAACTCCTGCCTTGTCACTTAATGCTTATGTTCACCAGTATGACACAAAAACCTTCAAACAGGTAAGCAACAACTCCTGCCTTGTCCCTTAATGCGTTTGTTCACCAGTATGACACAAGAACCTTCAAACAGGTAAGCAACAACTCCTGCCTTGTCCCTTAATGTGTATGTTCACCAGTATGACACAAAAACCTTCAAACAGGTAAGAAACAACTCCTGCCTTGTCACTTAATGATTATGTTCATCAGTATGACACAAGAACCTTCAAACAGGTAAGCAGCAACTCCTGCCTTGTCACTTAATGGGTAAGTTTACCAGTATGACACAAGAACCTTCAAACAGGTAAACTTCTGCCTTGTCACTTAATGCTTATGTTCACCAGTATGACACAAGAACCTTCAAACAGGTAAGCAACAACTCCTGCCTTGTCCCTTAATGCGTTTGTTCACCAGTATGACACAAGAACCTTCAAACAGGTAAGCAACAACTCCTGCCTTGTCCCTTTATGTGTATGTTCACCAGTATGACACAAGAACCTTCAAACAGGTAAGCAACAACTCCTGCCTTGTCCCTTAATGCGTTTGTTCACCAGTATGACACAATAACCTTCAAACAGGTAAGCAACAACTCCTGCCTTGTCCCTTAATGCTTATGTTCACCAGTATGACACAAAAACCTTCAAACAGGTAAGCAACAACTCCTGCCTTGTCCCTTAATGCTTATGTTCACCAGTATGACACAAGAACCTTCAAACAGGTAAGCAACAACTCCTGCCTTGTCCCTTAATACGTTTGTTCACCAGTATTGACACAAGAACCTTCAAACAGGTAAGCAACAACTCCTGCCTTGTCCCTTAATACGTTTGTTCACCAGTATGACACAATAACCTTCAAACAGGTAAGCAACAACTCCTGCCTTGTCCATTAATGCTTATGTTCACAAGTATGACACAAAAACCTTCAAACAGGTAAGCAACAACTCCTGCCTTGTCCATTAATGCTTATGTTCACCAGTATGACACAAGAACCTTCAAACAGGTAAGCAACAACTCCTGCCTTGTCCCTTAATACGTTTGTTCACCAGTATGACACAAGAACCTTCAAACAGGTAAGCAACAACTCCTGCCTTGTCCCTTAATGTGTATGTTTACCAGTATCGACACAATAACCTTCAAACAGGTAAGCAACAACTCCTGCCTTGTCCCTTAATACGTTTGTTCACCAGTATGACACAAGAACCTTCAAACAGGTAAGCAACAACTCCTGCCTTGTCCCTTAATGCGTTTGTTCACCAGTATTGACACAAGAACCTTCAAACAGGTAAGCAACAACTCCTGCCTTGTCCCTTAATGCGTTTGTTCACCAGTATGACACAAGAACCTTCAAACAGGAAAGCAGCAACTCTTGCCTTGTCCATTAATGCTTATGTTCACCAGTATGACACAAGAACCTTCAAACAGGAAAGCAACAACTCCAAGGCATTTGTCTTGTTCATTTCACTATATTTTACCCTGTCATACCCTGCCTTATTGTGAAGTATTATTTTGATGCCCTATGTCCGGAAACGGAAGTAGGAAAATTGACATTCCCTAGCAGTAGTTATTGATTAAAATAGAATGGTATTGTTAGTATTTTATACATGTACAGTACATGTACTTTTATACATGTGTTTCATGCCTTTTTGGAATCTAACGAACATTGTGTATCATAAGTCGGCAACTCTGTCATTTATTTTGCACCAATGGATTTATAACAAATTATAAAATGATATTCTAATGACCCTGGACACGCTTGTCCAGGAGCATAGTTATATGAACAGTTAATATTATATTAATTAGAAACTGCTATACAAAATAAGAATTTAGTATTACTCAATTGAGTTCCCCATGGCTGATCATAATACATGACAAGTATACTCCTAGATCCTCTTTGTAAAATAAGACAGCCAATATTTGTATAATGCAAATCAATTTCTTATTGCTTTTGTTGACATGAAAAGGGAGGGGGTCAATTGTAATTTTTATCTATTAAATTACAGTATATACTGTATATCATTAGATATTAGTGAAAATAATGGGATGACTTTTTGATGATTGTAAATTATTTTTATACCTCTTACCACAAAACTTTCTCAATAAGCTAAAATTTGATTTGATATTTTCTGCTCATGTTTCAGATATGCTGTAAAAAGCTTCACCACACTCGTGAGAATGTGTGTATGTCTGTGCACAAGGATAGAGGTCTGTATGCAGTAGGATCACAGTCTTATGTTGCTTTACTGGACTCAAACACACTTAAGCATGTACATAGTATATTATCTAAACAAAGAGGCTGTGGTAAGTTTTGGTTTATATTTTACTTTTAAAAAATGCTTACAATTATTATATTTTACTTGTTTAAAATACAAGTTTTTGAACGGTTTTCAAAATATAACTTTCCAATGCTTTAAACGTTATTTTGGAAACTTTAAGCAAATCAAAGGACAGGTCAGGGAGTGAGTCCAGATATTGGCTTAGAAAACATCAAAAATTGTAATGTCTGAAAAAGCCAACTCAATTGCAAAAACCCCTAAACCTCAAAAAGTTATCCTTCTTCTCAGAGCTTAAAAATATCAACTTGAATCACAATTAATGAAGTTAAGAAAACACATAATGAAATTCTGCGCTAAGGGCTGATATGAAAAAGTCAGTCCATCCTAGTGGGGATTGAACTTACAACCCCTCACTTTCAGGATGAGTGCTCTACCAATGAGCTACAGAGCTGACTGACTTTACCAAATTGCATATATAACATTGCAGCCATGTCTTACATGCTCATTTTCCTGGCCCAATATAAGTAGTGTATTGCCAGATTTAGTGGAGTCTGAATTAGCAGTTTAATTTCACATGCTATATATAAAGCACCCTTTTTGACCAGAGCATCATTAATACATATATTTTTGATATTTACTGAGGTGGTGTTAAGAAGTGGTCCCAGTAGATAATAACAGGCCTCAAAGATTTTGCATGTTTCCATTGAATCCCATGTTGATTTATCAATCTTCAAAATACCCCCTGCAGAACAGATCAAGGGCAGTAAAGTCAATTTTCCTAATATTTAACCAAACTTGAATGTCTTCGAGCTTCAAAATAAGAAAGGAGTACTAGCTGGATTTCGCCTAGCTCTGAAGATATGGCATTTGAATTTTGGAAAATCCCCATTGACTGCCATTATAGACGACTATCAATATGGCTTTATTAAAGTGTTATTTTTTCCAAAAGTCCACCATGGAAATTTCTGATATAGCAGATTTCTATAGCCAATATATTGACTCTGGACGAGTGCTCTACCACTGAGCTATGGAGCAGATTAATTTATGCAAAGAAGTTTGGAACATACATGACATATCCTCATTGTCCTCATATCTGTCATTGCATACTTTCATTGCATACTTGTATAGACATTGAATGCTATTTCTTGATATAAGTGAATTGGTGTTTATCTGGGTAATCAAGGGATTATACATTGTAGTCAGTCCGAGAATGTTTGATTTATTTCTGGTCTAGAATACTGTAGTTAAAAGAAGATGAAAGAGCTTTACAAGTGTATTTTGTATGTGCAGCTACTGTATTTTGTTTTATCACAAAACTTGACGTAAATGTGAAAATGTGATCTTTGATAACCAAAATACCAGTTAATGGTTTTGATTAAAATGTTATATCCTGATATCTAGGGTAAAAGGAGCTCTGTTGAAGAAGATATTTTCAAGATGTCAGCTGAATTTAAAAATGGGAACCATTTTTCGTATGAAAAAACATAACCTTTGATCAATCAAATAGCAGTGAACAGATTTGGTTAAAGTTTAATATGTTGATAATTTAGAAGCTCTGTCCATGAAGAAATTTTGAAAGCAATTTTTGTGCGATGTGATTTGCTACTCCATTGAGTTGCTGTTTTCTAGTTTTGACTTTTACTTATTATTGCTGTAGGTATACGCTCAGTAAGCTTCAGGAATGATGTTGTAACAATAGGCACGGGTCAAGGTGCTGTGTTATTCTATGATTTACGGATGGGAAAGTATTTGGAGTGCGACTGTGGCCATCCGTGTCAGCTGACAGCAGGGAAAGGCTGGCTGGTAATTCATACATTTTCTCATTGATTGATAATCATTTTAAAAGTCCATGGTTTTATATCCTACATGTATGTTGGTTCTCTGAAAATGTAGATATCTTTAGTTGATACAGTGGATGAAACAATGTTTGAACACATTCAAAGTGAACTGATGTACGTAATTAACCAGTTGTAAAGTTTATGATTAATTTCCAAAATTTTCTCTTATATTAGACAAATAATTGTAGTGATGGTGTAACATTGTCAGCCTTAAAATTCTTTCAGAGATTATAACGTCATATGCTTTGACCTTATATTGTCTTTCTTTCAGAGGCATGTTATATGCTTTGACCTTTTCATATAAGGAACGTTTTATAATTTTCTGATTTCTACAGGCACATGATGATAACTACCGGGACTACTTTTATGACCAGGAGTATCCCAACGCCATCTATACACATTGTTACAATGAAACCGGAACACAACTTTTCACTGCTGGGGGTCCTCTCCCTGCTGGTCTATGGGGGAATTATGCAGCAGTCTGGGCCTGAATTGAAGATGTACATGATAAAGGTGATCTTGTGATCATAAAGGACAAATCTCAGATAGACACTGCAGCCATTACAATAGTCTTGCTTCAAGACCCTGGACTATCTACTCTAACAACTAGTCCACTGTGTTTGAAGCAAGACTAGCATAACAGTGCTTGCGATATATGTATGCAAAGGTTCTTTTTATGACTGGAAAGGAAACTTTGATGTCACAATGAACATGAAAGAAGATGAAGTTAAATGATTGTAATAAAGGATGAAATATATTAAGTTAGAAACAGCAAGATAACACACAATTCATTCATTTTGTAGATCCTTCAAATATATTCCTCAAAAATCTTTATGGGGGGACTTCTATTAGTTTTTGTATCATTTATGATTTTCATATACACTTAATTCATGTCTGATATTCAGACACTTCTAGTACAGAAAACCAGCTGGTTGAAAACTCCCAAGAAGTAAACTATTAACAAGCAAGAGCCATGCATGATTACTACGGATTATGGTGGTTGCATTTTGTTTATATTGCACACTTTTGATACAATTTACAGCATTCTCCACAGGATTTTTTCTCAAGTGGGTGCAAACTTCTCATTTTCACTTTTCAGAATCAAATTGGTCAAAATATGCCAATTTTTATGATTTTTCTAATTTTCAAGTGGTTACAAATGAATTTTTAGGTGGGTTCAAGCCAGTTTTTAAAATGTCAGGCAGGTACTGCACCCACTTGCTTTAATGCTGGAGAGACCACTGATTTATTTTGTTCCATGCTGAAATATCTGAAGCTTATTATTTTTGATGTTAAATATTGGCTATCAATTTTTTCATCAACATTTATTGTAATGACTTCAGTATGAATGAAATGTCTCTTGGTGTTCTGGTCCTGGATTGTGATATTGGCTCTTGATTGGAGAGAGGAAGGGAGGTATTAGCTGATTAGACATTATCCTACACTTAGTGTACTAAATGTATAATAACATTAAAAAATAAATTGATATTTATTGCCGAAATGAATAACCCGTAACGATATACTCCGGAAAACCCAATATGCGGAGGATATTGTGATGATATACTCCGCTTGTTGATTTCCCGCCAAATTGACTCTATTTGGCATGAAATTCATTTTGCAATGATATCATACATTTAGTGCACTCCTTGTAAGTGTAGGATAATAAGAGCATCCTATGATATATCATTTTAATCCACTCGGTGATCTTTATATTATGCACTCGTTCGCTTTGCTCTCTCGTGTAGATATCAATATCACATCGTAGATAAAAATTATATTCCTCAAAATCATAGGATATCCTATAATTATTTCTTTTCATGTTAGATCATGATTTTGATATATATATGTTCTATTTTTCTTATGACAGGTAGAGTTTGCTTCTCTTGCTCGGTTTCTTTAGTCTTTTTGGTCCTTTCCATTTGGCAATTGTGTTTAGACATTTAAATGAATCTTAGATTTGTATTGATTTTAACCTAAGGTAATTATCACTTGTTCACAACGTTCAGCATAATAGACACTGTAAAGGTGGTTGGAGACAAGACATGGCAAATTAGGAATATGATTACACAATTGTTTTAAATTAAGGCAATATATAATATACCTTGGAAGTTTTATTTGTAGACGTTTAATATGTTTGTGCATCTCACTATTTGTATATAAATCTATGTCATATATTATATAATAAATTATGTTTAGGATGTACATATGGAATCTGAGATATATGAAATAAAAAAACCAATGATGTAAAACTCTGCATTTACACCCATTCTTTTGTGACATAACATGATTGTTGGGTGTTTAAACGATGACGCATATCATTTACCTAATCGAAAGCTCGTTTCTGGTGTTGCTCACTGTTTAGTATAAAAGGCCCGATCCCGGAATGATACTTGAGGGGTCACAGGCTCTATGTCGTTGTGTCAACACCTCTAACTGTTATATAGCATTACTCACTGTTATAAGTATATTATTGATCATCACAAATTTATAAAGGGGAGATTCTTATTTTGACAAATCAATTTCACATTCATTGGTAAACTTTCGGGATCTTCTATTTGTGTATAATAAGGAAAAATTGACATCTAAATTTCCCCATAACGTATTAGTACAGTAAAACCTGTCTAATCCGAACACCCATGGGACTAGCTAAAAGCGTTCAAATTGGCAGGTGTTCAAATTTCGAGGATTTTGTTGGTCAGGGGGGGGGGGGGGATTTTCATTGTTCAGTCCACTATATTGAACACTTAATACTAAGTCAGAAAACAATAAATGTTGTTGATAAGTTAATTCTACAATAGGCCTATAGCCTATATGTTATGTTTTATTTATATTTTGAACAATATCATCATTTTAGTAAAAATAACTCTTATATTTTGGCAAAAACTTTGTAATACACTGTAAAAGTATATGATAGTCTCGTACGAAATCTTATGCTAGTCAAATGACTTATCCCATATGGTTATATAGCACTGCTTTTGCTTGAAAAAGTCCTTCATTGTTGTTTGTTTCTTTGCACTTTTAGCATTAGCAATATTTGAGTAGATATCCTCTTCAAGTAAAAATAAATTTTCATGAGTTTTCATTCGAGATGGATGTACAGGGCGTATCAAAAAAACGCAACAAGTAGTTATCTCGTAAAATCACAAAACTAGTGATGACTACATCAATTTCATTCAATGTACCACATAGCCACGTCTCTCCTCTTTGCAATGATATGTCATTCATTTACATGTGCTGATGGTTGGGTGAGAAATCCTTCCATTTGCACAGTGGGTCAAAATCGGCTCTTGGCCAAGTTTAAGATATTGAAAAAATCAGTGCAAGGGCTAAGTGCCAATGGAAGTTCCCCTGACTTGAATTCTTGTGACTTTTTCTCTTGGAGCTCTCTCAGGAGCATCTGTGCTCACAGTTCCTCCACCAGATATTGCAAAACCTCGAGAAAGAATTGCCCATGGGCTGCTTTTCTCTGCTTTAACCCACAGATGACTCGGGGCTGAACCATACATGACGTGGACAGATGAGCGCATCTTTATGTGCAAGAAAGGGGTGGCAATTTGGAGGGGTATTGGATGTATTCTTGCAAGAGTATGAACACTTAACTGTCTATGCCACACCTGTCACACCTTCTTCCAATAGCCCATATGCCCGTTGTTCTGACTTTTGCAATGTTTAAAACTTGGGTCCGAGCTGAGTTTTGCCCCACTTTGCAAAGTCAATGATTATTCGGCCAGCCATAATTCCCTGTGAATGAATGATATTCCATTGCAAAGAGGAGTAATCCGGCTTTTTGGTACATTGAATGAAAAGGATGCAATCAGCATTGGTTTTATGTTTTCTTTCAATATTGCATCCCCGGGATTGCATCGGGCTCCGTACACTGACTTTTGCGATTTTTATAACTTGGCCAAAAGCTAATTTTGGCGCACTTTGCAAATGGAATGATTACACGCCCAACCATGACCAAATATCAATGAATGATATATCATTGTAAAGAGGAGACACATGGCTTTACGGTGCATTGAATGAAATCAATGCTGTTAACATTGGTTTTGTGCTTTTCCGAGATAACAATCTTTTGCGTTTTTTTGATACGCACTGTATAATCCCTCAAAATATCAAGGGCATTCAGGATGTCAGATGTATGCCTTTTAGGAGACATTTTAGTGATAGGATATTACGAAGTTGATTTTTTTCTCTTTCTCGTGATATAACATTGTCTGAAAATGTTGTCTTTGTTGTCCTTGTGATTACAAAACATTTACTGATGGAATCTTAGCTATCATAACAGACCCATGAGATATAAAACAGTTAAGACCTGTTCATAATCCAAATCAAAAACATCCAGTTAATTTACAATAAGGATACACCAATTATCTCCCAGATTCTCACCAAATCAAAAACATCCAGGTAATTTCCAATAATGATAAGTAAATTGTCTTCTTGATTCACACCTACGTGTATTTCTTAATCCAAACATAAAACATTCAGTTCTTTTCTAATAGGATAAACCAATTAACTCCTGAATTCATACCTTTCCAAAACATCCTGTTGTTTTCCACAAATTAGGGATGTCACTGAGACTAAATAAGTTAATTAGAACAATATCACGGGATGTCATCGCCTGATTTGGTCAATGTTAGGGAGCAGGTCGTTTTTACAATAAATTTCAATATTTTCACACAAAATATGTTTTTACTGAAAAACTGCTCATTCGCAGAGAAAATGTACTAGCACATGCAATGACAATGTCAATCACGCTTCTGTACGAAATTCGGCGGAAGTCTTTTATAATCTAATACGAAGTTACTAAAAAAGGCGCGAACGCCCTACACTCAAAATGATCGTTTTTCCATTATAACTTTTTAACGTAATTTAACGAAGGCTTCTAATTATTATCCAAGATAGTCTAAATACCGATTAAAATATTTCTTACTTCAAACAGATACGCCGTCTTTTATTCAATTTTTTAAAAAATAATAAAAAATAACTCTTGTCAATGTTAGGGAGCAGTCAATGTTAGGGAGCAAAATGATTTTATCAGAATATTAAAAATGTAGCAAATGGCCATTTAAAATATGTATGGCATTTATAAACTGAACAATTTTGTTTGTATGATTATTTGATACCCTTTGGGGAGGAAAGCGTTAAAATTGTAAGAAAATCATTGAAAAGGTTATTTTGCATTTTTTATTTTCAGCTAAATCCTGTTTACGTTCGTTTTAGAAATATTTAGATGCGAACCATTCCTTCTTTATTCGTTGACCTCTAACTGTAAATGAATGGATGTATCGTTATATACACTTTTTGATGATGTCATCAGTTCACAATCCTAAATTGTGGATGATAAATTATCTGAACTGATATATAGGCTTGAGAAATCTCCGACATCCTTCAGTTCTATGATTTGATATTTTCCTAGTATTAAAGTAAGAGAGTTAGTCTCGCACTTATCTTTACGACCGGGTATCACCTGATAGCTGGCACAAACGCCAGAAGGGCTCATTGCGCAGTTACATGTATGATAGTAGATTTTTACACGTATACTTCAATTTGTCAATACTCAGACAATGCAGTATATAACCGATCTCTGTTATATGTGTACCACTTGCTAATGATACTCTAAAGCCCGGTATACACCAATGGGACAAGTTGGGACCTCCATAGACTTAACATGGCGTGGGACCTAGTGGGACCTTTTGGGATTTTGCCCCATGAAGTCCGTGGGAATCAATGGGACTCCGTCGGATTTTGCCCCAACTTGCATATAATCTTGCCCCATCGAGTCCCATGAGGTCCCACGTTGGACTCGATGGGATTCGATGGGGCAGGATGGGGCAAAATCCCACGGAGTCCCATCTTGCCCCATCGAGAATGAACATGTTCATTCTTTCCATGGGGCATCGTGGGATTTCCGATCAGGTCACATGTTATGTGAAGCCCAACATACACCAATGGGGCAAGGTGGGATTTGATGGGACTCCATGGGGCTCGATGGGGCACGTTGGGACTTGATGGGGCAAAGTCATCAACCATGGGACTCCGTTGGACTCATTGGGGCAAGTTCGGATTCGATAGGGCAAGATCGGACTCGATGGGCAAGTGGGATTTTGCCCCATTGGTGTATACTGGGCTTAAGGCTACTTTATTTAAGTTTTGAATGAATTTAATTGTCAAAAAGCGGCTCACTTGCAGACTTGGGGACACCCTATATATTAACCTGGGATTACACATACAGTACGTGGCTGGACTGCGTCATCCATATCCACCGTGCAAGCTACTTATTTCACTTTCCAATGTACTACAGTAATTATATGAATGAATTATCATGGAATTATTGAGAATATTTTTAATATTCTGATAAAATCATTTTGCTCCCTAACATTGACTGCTCACTAACATTGACAAGAGTTATTTTTTATTATTTTTTAAAAAATTGAATAAAAGACGGCGTATCTGTTTGAAGTAAGAAATATTTTAATCGGTATTTAGACTATCTTGGATAATAATTAGAAGCCTTCGTTAAATTACGTTAAAAAGTTATAATGGAAAAACGATCATTTTGAGTGTAGGGCGTTCGCGCCTTTTTTAGTAACTTCGTATTAGATTATAAAAGACTTCCGCCGAATTTCGTACAGAAGCGTGATTGACATTGTCATTGCATGTGCTAGTACATTTTCTCTGCGAATGAGCAGTTTTTCAGTAAAAAATATTTTGTGTGAAAATATTGAAATTTATTGTAAAAACGACCTGCTCCCTAACATTGACCAAATCAGGCGATGACATCCCGTGAATATTGGTTCTGATAAATAACAACTATAACATTGACTCAATATGTGGCTATAATTGAAATGTCCAGACATTTGATTTCTAATAAAAATGTTCGGATTAGACAGGTCACTTTTTCAAATCGGGTTATTCACTGTTCAAATAAGGAGGTGTTCAGATTTGAAGGGTTTGTGTAAAAAACCGGGTGACCGGGTGACCGGGTACTTAACGTTCCTAGCAGGGTTAAGATTTTTTTATTCATAACGTTGGATCTGGACGATACATGTACGTTATTTTCGACGTCACGTTTTGAGCTTATTTCACATCGTAAGAACGTTTTGACAACGTTAACTTTTAACGTTAACATAACGTCGGTAATGAACCGATTTAGTGAGAACATATTGAAGTATTTGTAACGTTTCCTTAACTCACAAATATTTTGAAGCCATTTCCGCAATGTTGAAATTCAACCATCCATCGATGTTTTGCTGAATATTTAAATAACGTCAGATCAATACGATCCATGAACGTCATTATTGACGTCACGTTTTGAGGTTATTTCAAATCGAAAAAACGTTTCGACAACGTTAAATTTTAAGGTTGACAATACGTCGGAAATGAACCGACTTAGTGAGAACACAAAGTTTTTGTCATGTTTTTTTTCCACCAACAAATATTTTGATATTAAAATTTGAGTTACGTCACATATGGACCAATGTAGTAAAAAATCAAACGTTCCTGTTTGTTATGTTTTCCACACTAACGAACTTTACGGACACGTTACAACAACGTTCTTTTTATACCATCAACAGATGTCTCATGTTTACGTTGCCTCGATATGTAAAGAACGAAAATGTGCAACGTCTTCTAGGAACTTATATGCTACTTATGAGCAACGTGACATGGACGTCACTGTTTGCTGGATCGCGGACTCGCGGTATAGGGTAAAACTATCGAACAGCAGTGCACTCGGTAGGCTAAGTCTGTCAAGTCAATTCGCTACTATATATCGGGGGAAATGTGGAACTTTGAAAGTTGGTAACCCTGCTTGGAACGTTAGGTTCCCCCCTTTTACACAAACCCAGATTTCGAGGTTTTTTAAACATGAGAGTCATGGGAGGAAAAATTGGGACCGAAAAAAAGTGTTCAAATTGGAAGGTGTTCGGATTAGCCACAGGTGTTCAGATATACAGGTTCTACTGTACACAGCTTGCCATATTAAATATCCTCCAAATGAAACAAACATACAAGGATTCTTTGAACAATTACTCTCTCAATAATGTTTTCAGAATCATTATAAACGGATTACTTTATCTCCAAGACAATTTCAATTAAGTGGATTTTACAAAACACCTCTTACTTCTTAAAAATGGTCTGATCCAGTTTACTCGCCTGGAGACGCCATATTGTTTTTATACGGGAAGCCTATCGGAACCCTTTAAGGTAGAATCAGATCCAGAGCTGATTTTTTCCAAAAAATATTTAAATTTCAGGACATTATATTCCGAGGGCATTACCCCTTGCCTATTTTTGAAAAATCCCCCAAATGCTTTGTCAATGAAAGAACTCTCTCTTTTGGAATATCTGTCAGTCATTTTCTTACGCCAATCATTCAAAGATGGAGCGTCAAATAACAAAATCTAGTCCAGTAAATAAAACCTCCAAATCAAGTCACTGTATTCACACAGTGTTATAGCATGACGGTTACACAACCTCTGAAAACGAGGTTGGAAGGCTACGTTCACTGATCTATCCAATAAAATGGCCTCGATGGAAGAGAAAACTGGTGCACTATTTTCTACTACTGTGTATCAATGAAAGGATGAACGATTTATGCAAGCGTCGCATTCGGTGATGCATTCAGTAATTTATATTTTGAACCTAGTCTGCAAATTGATGCCCGTGGATAACATGAAATAAGAGAAAACTTGTCGAGTTTAAAATTCAAAACTACACAAAATTTAGTAATTTGTTTATTTTTGTTGTTAGGGCATGGTCTACATTGCCTGAAAACCTTGGGGTATATAGATGTATATAACCTACATACGATCATACAAAGCCATACAAAGATTAATGTGTACAAAACATCCATGACTATATTCAAATGGACTTTTTAATTTATTAAAAGATGGAAGACAGTTGAGGAAGCGGCCAATAGTAACATATAGTAAGTATTGTTTTTAGTACATGCACAGCAAGTCCGAGTGTTCATGTTCATCATTCACATTATCATGTTAGTATTGTATGTAGTACATGTACAGTAAGCCCGAGTACTAATGTTCATCATCCATCATTCACATTTAGGGATAGAAAGTATTCTATTAGATGTAGTACTCTGGTGATCATCCATCTGAACCAGTCCTGTCATAGTGGAACTATAAATTAAAGAAAATGAGCTATAGTAACTAGTATCAGGCAATATTTTTCAATTGTTACATAAAAATTAAACAGGAATGAAATACTAGTGAACAAAAACACTAAATTCAAAGTCAATGATTATCTGCAAGCCCTCTCTCACATAATTAATGTCTTTAACAGTGTTGTTCAAAGTGGAAAACGTAATGATACTAGTATATCGAAAATAGTTACTAGTAAATAAAGGTAGGTTCATTTTGAGAAAAGGACTATCACAATGTTAAGCACTTACTCTTTCATTAGCCATTCATAATTTATTCATTTTGAGGAAATGACTATCACAATATAAAGCACTTGCTCTTTCATTAGCCATTCAGAATGAATTTATTTTGAGAAAAGGACTATCACACCAATATAAAGCACTTGCTCTTTCATGAGCCATTCATAATGAATTCATTTTGAGAAAAGGACTATCACACCAATATAAACACTTGTTCTTTCATCAGCCATTCATAATGAATTGATTTTGAGAAAAGGACTGTAAGAATATAAAGCACGTGCTCTTTCATTAGCCATTCATAATGAATTTATTTTGAGAAAAGGACTATCAGAATATAAAGCACTTGGTCTTTCATAAGCCATTCATAATGAATTTATTTTGAGAAAAGGACTATCACACCAATATAAAGCACTTGTTCTTTCATTAGCCATTCATAATGAATTGATTTTGAGAAAAGGACGATCGCAATATAAAGCACTTGCTCTTTCATTAGCCATTTATAATGAATTCATTTTGAGGAAAGGACTATCAAAATATATAGCACTTCTCTTCCATTAGCCATTCATAATGAATTCATTCTGAGGAAAGGACAATCGCAATATAAAGCACTTGCTCTTTCATTAGACGTTCATAATGAATTCATTTTGAGAAAAGGACTATCGAAATATAAAGCACGTGTTCTTTCATTAGCCATTCATAATGAATTCATTTTGAGGAAAGGACTATCGAAATATAAAGCACTTGCTCTTCTATTAGCAATTCATAATGAATTCATTTTGAGAAAAGGACTATCACACCAATATAAAGCACTTGCTCTTGCATTAGCCATTCATAATGAATTCATTTTGAGAAAAGGACTATCACACCAATATAAAGCACTTGTTCTTCCATTAGCCATTCATAATGAATTGATTTTGAGAAAAGGACCATCGCAATATAAAGCACTCGCTCTTTCATTAGGCGTTCATAATGAATTCATTTTGAGAAAAGGACTATCGAAATATAAAGCACGTGTTTTTCATTAGCCATTCATAATGAATTCATTTTGAGGAAAGGACTATCGAAATATAAAGCACTTGCTCTTTCATTAGCCTATTTATAATGAATTCACTTTGAGAAAATGACTATCGAAATATAAAGCACTTGCTCTTCTATTAGCAATTCATAATGAATTCATTTTGAGAAAAGGACTATCACACCAATATAAAGCACTTGTTCTTGCATTAGCCATTCATAATGAATTCATTTTGAGAAAAGGTCTTTCACAATATAAAGCACTTGCTCTTTCATGAGCCATTCATAACGAATTCGCTTGAGAAAGGACTATCAAAATACGAGGGTTGATCCAGAAGTTCCGAACTATTTGCTCTAAAAATCTAATTAATATTTTATAAATATTGTTAATATTTGGCCACAACCACCCCATATATAGTAGTATCATTTTGTGTAAAAATAAGCAATAAATTTGACCAGCAACATAGGTGTCTGGTTTCCATAGCAGCATGACAACAGGGTAGGTGGAGCTGGAATTAATCAAACTTTATTCAAAATGTCAACACTCGAAGAGCTATTTCAGATTATTTCAATTTGTGGAGTTTCACCCCCATAAAATCTCATACAATAGGTCATTATAGTTTATAAGTTCAGTCGCCTTCAAAATAGTTAACACCATGTGCTACACATTTCTTACAGCGTTTCAACCGGTCCTGAAATACATGGTGAAGTCAGTCCACCTTTAGCTGTAGCACGCCATAGTAAATGCCTGGATAATTAAGGCCAGCTTCGTCATCGAATTGGAAACATATGAAAGTCACATGGTGCCATATCAGGGGAATATGGTAGATGGGGCTGTAGTTTGGCCTGCAAGCACTCGTATATTGCCTCTGTTGTAACATTGGCTCTGTGGGCTTGGGCATTATCATGGTGAAGATAACAATTCCCTAGGAGATCTGGTCATTTTTATCTCATAGCATCTTTAAGATCTTTCTTCAGCACCCAGAACACATTTTTAAACTGAGTGTCATACCTAATTGATTGACTCAAAATAGATCAACATACCTCATAAAAGTAATCTAGTTTACAACTTTATAAATACTGATAAGGTTTTGTAGCTGATCTTTGAATAATAAGCTTCATTGACGGTGACTCCTGTTGCCACAGAATCAGGATAACTGTGTCGTACTCTTGCTCCACCTACCCTGTTGTCATGTTGCTATGGTAACCAGACACCTATGTTGCTGGTCAAATGTATTGCTTATTTTCACACAAAATGAAACTACTATAAATGGGGTGGCTGTGGCCAAAGATGAACAATGTTCATAACATATTAAGATTTTTAGAGCAAAACGGTTCGGAACTTTTGGATCAACCCTCGTATAAAGCACTTGCTCTTGTATTAGCCATTCATAATGAATTCATTTTGAGAAAAAGGACTATCGCAATATAAAGCACTTGCTCCTTCATTAGCCATTCATAATGAATTCATTTTGAGAAAAGGTGTTTCACAATATAAAGCACTTACTCTTTCATTAGCCATTCATAAACTTCGGCGGGAGTGGGCGTCTTATCCACAACACTCAAGTAACAGGCTATTGCACCTGCCTAAAATAAAACAGAAACATTCATGATTTTTCTTTTTTCCTTATTCCACACGTTGTAGGCAGAATTCCCACGACATTTTTATCACAAATGTGTAGAGTATCAGTATCATATGTTTAAGAAGATGTACATATTTGCGAACAAATAGTTCAGAAGACAGCGGAATCGTCGATTCAATTCCTCACTTAAGTTACAGAAACGATATTTCGCAAAAAATTAAGATCTGCACTTTTAACCCGTACCGTTTATGTAACTTAAGTGAGATATTAAATCGACAATTCTGTTGTCTTCTGACCTTTTTTGTCGCGATCATGTACATTTCTAAAACATATGATACTGATTAACGTTTGTGAGAAAAAATGATGTCGGGATTCTGCCTACGACTCGTGAAATTAGGAAAAAAGAAAAATCGTACCTTCAACGTTCCGACATTTTGTTACCAAAACGAACCGTTTCGGTAACCATCGTAATCGAGCGGATCACCAGTGTAGGTATTGCTGTTGACTACTCTAGATATAAATCATTTGCTTTCCTGCTTTTTTGTTAGAATGTACTGCAGTATAGCTGTAACCATGCATCATGCTTTTCATTTGTTTAGGGATTCATGATCAGAGAAAGTAGACGCCAGTCCGTCCTATGAGTCCTATTGTTGACAATTAAAGGAACGATTTGCTGCATGCCAAACACAATGGTAATGCTTTCGGAATTTAAGGATGCGTTTTTGAAATGCCCGCGGCAATAGTTATTTGCACAATATTTAATAAGTTGCCAGTGCAAAACAGGAGTTCGATTGCAATGAACGGTGATGCCTTTCAAAAGAATTATGTGAGTGTTAGTGTACGCGCTTGAATAAGCTATTTTTAGCCATTATGTCGCTATCATTGAGTTTATGCCTGAGGGTTGAAGACCACAGTAGAGTTTCCCATAGGTGGCCATTATAACATTTTACCCTGTATCTTATTAACGATTAGTATCCAAGCCTAGTGCAACATACCACAGTGTTCGGGAGAGACTCGCCTAGCCTGCTATAACAATCTTACCATGGGTTGTCCACCGAATTTTTGAAATAAATAAACTTGAAGACACTAACCCCCTCTATCGTCAGATTTCTCAGAGAATTCTGGTAAAATCACCAAGGTCAAAATCACTCCGCCGCCAGCTTAAAATGAGATTTCCCACTGAACTCTGACATGTTTTCAGATAAATTAGGACCTACCCTATAAATATTTAGTCCTGATTCACTTCCCAAACGCCAGATGGCGCTCCAATGGGGTAGGGAAGGAGAAAATGACTTTTATTCAGAAAACCAAATCACTAATGTCCTTACTCAGGACTATATACTGAGGTGTGACGTCAATATAGACACACTACCCTACCTCGATCGCGCATGCGCGAATTTTTGGGCTTTCAACCAGGTCGCTTTTGAGTATATCGACTGCTTAGTCAAAAGGTTAATACGTTTGGTGCTCGGAGTGAGTCAATATTGCTATTCGCTGAACTTCAGTGGTGCAAAAGTGAAGTCCATGTTCCAAGTTATATGATAGTTTAAGAAAAAATGTAAAAAATAACGTTTTACATTTTAAAATATTTGATATGTCATAGTACACGGTACACAGTTGCAAAAGTTGATCAATACAGGGTACATGGAATGTAAATTGTTCAATAGTACAGGGAGCGAGAAAGTAAGCTGATTATACAGACATACTATGTCCCATATCTCATAAACATTTACGTTGCAAACAGTGAAAATAATACTAAAAAGGCCGTCTGTTCATGCTTTGAGGTGTCATCAATTGTTATTTAATCCAAATAAAGTAAACATTATTTTGTAGATTTAGACAAGGGCCTTCAGGTCGTATATGCATTTTAGTCATTACATTAACAAGAACGCTAGATTAGAAGTGTTACTAGGGTATCAAATTGAAATAAAATAACAAAATTAAATATGAACACGTTAATGAATGACTATCCGCTATCAGTATTAATGACTATCCGCTATTCAGAATAATCAAAATTGCCTGAACTACATGTGAAGAATCTTTCTATATAACCCCTTGCATGATCTAATTCACTACCGTCCTCAAAAACCGATCATTTAAAATATTTTGTTCAAAATACTATCATGCCACGACTTGAGAGCATTTTGTTCTTCACGATTTGCTGTAGCGCTGATATGACGTCGTATTTCTCTATTATTGTAAAAAAAACAATACCAGTAGTCTTATATGACGTGTTGAATGTCAGTTGTTTTTGGATGGTATCTGCTCCAGTGATTTTGCATTAAATAATGAAACGCTCATCACAAGACACCTCGAAACAAACATTATCCTCTCTGTGACAACAGGAATAAGCCACACGGTGAACAGAATCGCACCCTTGAACAGAATACACTTTTCGGGATGGAAAATTCGAAATGGCCACCTTTACATTTACCCAGATTGCCTAAAAACTAATCAGTTCTAAACTTTCATAGGTACAAACATCCCTGAGAATTTCAAATGAATCCCTCAAACGGTTTGGCTGGAAACCTGTAGACAAGCCTTGACAGACAAGATTTTAGGACGGAAAATTCAAAATGGCCGCCTTAACATTTACCCAGAATGCCGAAAAACTAATCAGTTCTTAATTTTCATAGGTAGAAACATCCCCGAGAATTTCAAATGAATCCCTCAAACGGTTTGGCTGGAAACCTGTAGACAAGATTATTCGGGACGCCCGCCCGCCCGCCCGCTCGCCCAACCGCCCGGCAAACTGATTACAATATAGCACCTGAGGGTGCGATGAAAATGTTTCACAATATGTTATGCCTTACGTCAAAGTCAAGATACATTTCTGGGACGACTTTTTATGCATCTTAAGATTTTAGAAAAAGAATTAATTCACAAAAATACTGTTGAATAACATACTAGAAAACGTATCCACATACAGGTATAACACGATGACACGCAATTTAAATAACAGTTAACTGTTTTTTTTTTGTTACATATCAATGTAACATTTTCGAAGGGAAACTTACATGCTCCCTGTACGTTGATAGATTTACTGAACTGTATCGTGTATTGCATTCGAGTTTTGCTTCACTGCGCCCACTATTATCTATCTTTGCCTAAAGTGTTTTTTGCCAACAATATTCTACAAACTGCTTGATGAATCAATTCTATACCTGGTAGAACACTAGAAATAAATGTAAAATGTATTTTGCGCTCAAAATATGGAATTAAACCCACGTCCTCCATTTGCAACTTTGCTGTACACTGTTTCCCTTTTAAACGTGGTCACGTGGTAGGGTAGTGTGATAGACCAGGACAGACCGAACTTGCGAGGGTTGTATTGACGACGGATCGAAAGCATATTTTCAATGATACGGACATAATTGTTGTAGTACACACCTAAAGTACATTTACATAACATTTCATAAAGATAATATGTAGAAATGCGTGAAAAAAAACTTAAATCACTTTACATGTTATGACGTCATAAAGTTGTCATGTAAAAAAGTTTGGCGGCTATACAGAGATACTGATACCTGGAGAGAAAACTCATTAAAATACAATTCACTGACACCTCGAGCATACAAATAGGAAATACAGCCTAAATGATCCTGATAATCTACTCGTGGCCGGAAAAACATAATGATACGGCCAGTCCCCAGGTCTTACTCTCGAAACGTACCACAAAAGGAGACGACATTGAAGTCCCCGACATTACTTCTGTTTCCGAGGTAGACTCCGGGTTTCCCTTGGAGATCGTGGAACTTTGTATTGCCGACCCTGGAGCCAAGATATCCACACACGCGCCATAATTCGAGAAAGGGCACATTTTGTCGACGGGTTTGCCATCTTTCATTCCAATTGTACTACATCCAACCGCGATCCTAAAACCCAATGGATTTATGCATGTTAAAGATATATAGTCGAAGGTATTCTATAAACGCTTCGTGTCAGATACCTTTGTTTACATAATAATTTCTCTTATAGCCTATATACCACGAGAGTTCATCTATACGGGACGTACTGAAACCACTACATGTACGTCCAAGAAAAACGTTAATTTGAATTTTAAACCTTCCAGGTGTTTGAAAATCAAGGATTGTGAGTCTCACACTACATCGTTTTTCTTCAAACCTGTTCCGTACAGACCTTCACAGAAATACCTTTGTGTGAAAGTGTGAAATCAATTTTGTTAAAAAGTGAAACAAATCTAAAATTCTTTTTTTCAAATAGACATATAGTACTTGTATATATCTATATATATATTTGTACATTCGTTACCCAAGGCATTGAAGTGAACTCCAAGGAAAAGTAGGCGAATTTTCAAATTGAAATTAGAGTCCGTCTCAAACGTGTCAATTTCACACCTTGACCCCCTAATTAATATGTCAAGCTATTCAAATTAGAATACAACATTTTCAAAAATCAAGAACGTTCCTCATGGTACTTAACTGTCATTTCAAATCGCAAATGGATTTGGACTACAAGCTTTTTCTTTTTGATGTGCATCACTTGTCAACATGAACCAACAATAAAATCTATGATTTTTTCGATTTTTTCTCAACTTTTGTCTTTCATTTGAATAAAATTAAAAGAGTTGACTTTATTATCTATCAATTTGATCTTTATGCGCAAACTGTTATACACGTGTGATCAGAGAATTGGTAATCATATAAAATAAAATCAATCCTTTGTGAATTATACAAATGACTAATTTATTGCTTTGGGTTCAATGGTATGACCATGTCGATTTTCACGCATGTCAATTTTCACAGTTTCACACCATATTCCTTCATAGATGGGGTTTTGCTGGTTATTTCGTAAAATGTTTTCGTTAAAGCCAAGTGGGTATATTGTTTTCTTGAATAGTGTCCATCTCTACACAACATACTACCCATGTTTGAGCTACATCTTGGTCGTTTTTCACAAGAAAAGTTTCACAAAAGAATTTTCAGAAATGTTTTTATCATGCCCATTATAATTCAATCACAATTATCATCACAATTTGGAACATGATGGTCTGATAAACTGAATCAAGGATTTGCTATTATAACTTATTTCTCTCAGATTCCCCTAATGCCGTGTGGGTGTGTTTTAACGACCATGTCGATTTTCACAGAATAATTTTACGTTTACTTTATTGGTTCTGTATAATCGGTAATAGGTGGAGACCAAATACAGGTCTCTCACTACACTCTGAATGGCTGTTCTTTATGCCAGCATAACCAAAATTAAAAGATGCGACCATTTATTATTGAGATATGACATGTTTTCAAAAGCGTGTTGTCCTGTTACATTCACAATTTCACAAAATCCACAGTTTTGGAGCCAGATATCAAAGCTATTTATAATCGGAACGATCAGAAAGTATGCTGACTTTGTTCAGATAAAGGCATTATATTTTAGAATATATAAAATAATGAGCAAAAGTACTTAAAGTGTTCAATAACATGAAAAATGACAAATTTTAACACTGATTTTTTTCAACTGTACTATCAGATCATTTGCAGACCTAGTTTTGTGAATCATCGTCCTAAAAGTGGCGTATAATGTACCTTACAAAGCCGCTAATGTATTTGTGTTTATTGAGACTTGTTTATTTAAACTGCTGTATTGGCCATCATTTTTTCAATTTTTTTTTATTCTACATGTATTGTGATGATAAATGTAATCAAATAGCTCCCGATAAATGAGTTCGATATTTCAAAGATTTAATGAAAGAGAATATGGAACAAGTTGGTAAATATGATAGCAAAAAGGATAATAATTATACTTTTATTGACATAGAACACTTTAATCGTGGAATATCAATGAAAGAACTTAAAAAAAGTATAAATAAGTTGAAGAGCAATAAAGCCGTTGGTTTAGATTCAATTAGAAATGAAATGTTAAAAAATAGTCCAGACATGTTGATACAGGTGATAAGAAATCTTTTTAATAATATCCTTGACAATAACATTTACCCTACTCAATGGAGAGAGAGTCTAATTAAACCTTTATTTAAAAGTGGAGATTATTTATTACCAAATAATTATCGTGGGATTGCGTTATCAAGTGCAATGAGTAAATTGTTTGCGGATATTTTGAATAAAAGAATGGAAGAATTCATAGAGTCGCAAAATATAATTCATAGAGAACAAATCGGGTTTAAAAAGAATTGCCGAACTGCAGATCACTTATTGATATTGAAACAGCTAATTGATAAACACGTGACGGTAGGGAAATATTTATATACATGCTTTGTAGATTTCAGAAAAGCCTATGATAGCATACCCAGGCCACTTTTATTGCAGAAATTAAAAAATCTAGGCATGGGAGGCAAAATATATGATATAATCGATAACATGTACTCAAGTGTCATATACAGAGTAAAACTTAAAAACGGGTTAACAAGTCCAATACACTCTAAATTAGGATTAAAACAAGGCTGCTTAATCAGTCCTTTATGTTTCAACTTATATATAAATGACATAATAGATATTTTTGATGACCAATGTAAGCCTGTCAAAATCGGTAGTAATGATGAAACGTTAATAAATGTACTCTTATATGCGGATGATCTGGTCTTGATATCAGAAACAAATGAGGGACTACAATACTGTCTTGATAAACTAAAAACATATTGTTCAAAATGGAAATTAAACATTAATATTGAAAAAACGAAAGTTGTGATTTTTAATAAATCAGGAAAAATAATAAAACACAGTCATTTTAAATTTGGAAGTATAAATATAGAAAAAGTAAATGAATATAAATATTTGGGATTTGTTTTAAAAAGCTCTGGGAGTTTGAAACATGGCATATCAGAATTAAGTAAGAAGGCGATGAAAGTTATTTTTATGATGAGACAAAATTTTAAGTTTTCAACTATCAATGTAGAATTGCACACAAAAATCTTTGACATGTGTGTTAAGCCTATATTATTATACGGAAGTGAATTTTGGTCAATGCTTCACTTGAAAGTTGACAGAAGGATTAGTCAAGGGGACCTTAAACTAGAGAGTTCTTATGAAGACTCTATTCCTGAAAAAATACACAATAAATTTTGCAAATTCCTTTTAGGGGTTAACAAATATACTTCAAGTTATGCCGTTAAAAAAGATTTAGGAAGATTTCCATTAGCTATAGACTCACTTATATATTCCATAAAATATTGGTTGAAATGTGTGCATCAAACAAACGCGGATAGCTTAATAAATATATCATTTCGGGATAAAAATAACATATATGTCAAACATATGGAATGCATATTAAAGTACTTTCATTTTCAACATGTCTTCGAAAATGGGAGTACGTTTGGAATAAAACGATTACTAAAAGCAATTAAACTTGAAATGCAAAGAAAATATATAGAACTTAATGATAGAGCTATAAGGGAAAATAGAAAACTTGGAAATTATATGAAAATTGATTACAATCTGGAAAGATATTTAACATTAAGCGTGAACAAAATGTTAATTTTTAAAATGGCCAGGTTTAGATTAGCAAACCATAATTTAAGAATTGAAACAGGGAGACACGAGAAAAAGAAAAAAGATGGCACTAAACAGCATCGACTTGAAATAAATGAAAGAATTTGTCAGATTTGCAATAAGGGGGAAGTAGAGGATGAAAAGCATTTTCTTCTTGTGTGTGATGGCTATAAAAAATGTAGATTTGAATTTTTTAATAAACTAAGTTTTATTGACACATTTGATAATATGTCGGATAAAGAAAAATATAACTTTTTGATGACTTCTGATGATTTTGAAATTGTTAACGAATTGATACATTTTATAAATAAACTTTTTAATCAGCGTCGGGAGCTATTTGAAAAAGGAAAGATTGTATGATGGTATTTGTGAAACAATGCATGTTGTTTTTTTTAACTGTATAATTATATGTAAATGTCTTGTAATTGATTTTGTGAGGAAACCAAGTGTTTGGTTTGAAACACAATAAAATCTTGAATCTTGAATCTTGACTTCAGTATTATTGAAATGACCCTTGGTGTTCTGATCCTGGATTGCGATATTGTGATGTTAGATCATGGTTTTGGAATATATAGGGTATATTTTTTTCTTATGGCAGATTTACACTCGAGTTTGCTTTTTTTGCTAGGTTTTTTTAGACCTTTGGTCCTGTCCCTTAGGCACTTGTGCTTAGATATCTAGATTTGCATTACTTTACTTTGATAAGCACTAGATTAATACAAGACTATACTTACACTTCTCTGACATCTGGAGGGGAGTCGTAACATGCATCTGTGTTGTTGTTCCCAGCAGCAACCACCACTGTTATACCCTGATCAATATATTACGCAGTTAAAGGTCGACATATTCCCACTGTTATACCCCCGATCAATATATTATACAGTTAAAGGTCGACATATTCCCACCGTTATACCCTGATCAATATATTATAATTATGCAGTTAAATGTCGACATATTCCCACTGTTATACCCTGATCAATATATTATACAGTTAAAGGTCGATATATTCCCACCATTATACCCCGATCAATATATTATGCAGTTAAAGGTCGACATATTCCCACCGTTATACCCTGATCAATATATTATACAGTTAAAGGTCGACATATTCCCACTGTTATACCCTGATCAATATATTATAATTGTGCAGTTAAAGGTCGACATATTCCCACTGTTATACCCTGATCAATATATTATATAGTTAAAGGTCGAAATATTTCCACTGTTATATCCCGATCAATATATTACGCAGTTAAAGGTCGACATATTCCCACCGTTATACCCTGATCAATATATTATGCAGTTAAAGGTCGACATATTCCCACTGTTATACCCTGATCAATATATTATACAGTTAAAGGTCGAAATATTTCCACTGTTATATCCCGATCAATATATTACGCAGTTAAAGGTCGACATATTCCCACCGTTATACCCTGATCAATATATTATACAGTTAAAGGTCGACATATTCCCATCATTATACCCTGATCAATATATTATGCAGTTAAAGGTCGACATATTCCAACTGTTATACCCTGATCAATATATTATAATTATGCAGTTAAGGGTCGACATATTCCCACTGTTATACCCTGATCAATATATTATACAGTTAAAGGTTGACATATTCCAACCGTTATACCCCGATCAATATATTATGTAGTTAAAGGTCGACATATTTCCACTGTTATACCCTTATCAATATATTATACAGTTAAAGGTCGACATATTCCCACTGTTATACCCTGATCAATATATTATAATTATGCAGTTAAAGGTCGACATATTCTCAGTGTTATACCCTGATCAATATATAATACAGTTAAAGGTCGAAATATTTCCACTGTTATACCCTGATCAATATATTACGCAGTTAAAGGTCGACATATTTCCACTGTTATACCCTGATCAATATATTACGCAGTTAAACGTCGACATGTTTCCACAGTTATACCCTGATCAATATATTATAATTATCCAGCTAAAGGTCGACATATTCCCACCGTTAAACCCCGATCAATATATTATGCAGTTAAAGGTCGACATATTTCCCCTGTTATACCCTGATCAATATATTACGCAGTTAAAGGTTGACATATTTCACTGTTATACCCTGATTAATGTATTATGCAGTTAGGGTCGACATACTCCCAGATCAATATATTCTACAGTTAAAGGTCGACATATTCCGACTGTTATACCCTGGTCAATATATTATACAGTTAAAGTTGACATATTCCCACCGTTATACCCCGATCAATATATTATGCAGTTAAAGGTCGACATATTTCCACTGTTATACCCTGATCAATATATTATGCAGTTAAAGGTCGACATATTTCCACTGTTATACCCCGATCAATATATTATACAGTTAAAGGTCGACATATTCCCACCGTTATACCCTGATCAATATATTATACAGTTAAAGGTCGACATATTCCCACTGTTATACCCCGATCAATATATTATGCAGTTAAAGGTCGACATATTTCCACTGTTATACCCCGATCAATATATTATGCAGTTAAAGGTCGACATATTTCCACTGTTATACCCTGATCAATATATTATACAGTTAAAGGTCGACATATTCCCACTGTTATACCCTGATCAATATATTATAATTATGCAGTTAAAGGTCGACATATTTCCACTGTTATACCCTGATCAATATATTATACAGTTAAAGGTCGACATATTCCCACTGTTATACCCTGATCAATATATTATAATTATGCAGTTAAAGGTCGACGTATTCCCACTGTTATACCCTGATCAATATATTATACAGTTAAAGGTCGAAATATTTCCACTGTTATACCCTGATCAATATATTTCGCAATTAAAGGTCGACATATTTCCACTGTTATACCCTGATCAATATATTACGCAGTTAAACGCCGACATGTTTCCACAGTTATACCCTGATCAATATATTATAATTATGCAGTTAAAGGTCGACATATTTCCACCGTTATACCCCGATCAATATATTATGTAGTTAAAGGTCGACATATTTCACTGTTATACCCTGATTAATATATTATGCAGTAAGGGTCGACATACTCCCACTGTTATACCCTGATCAATATATTATACAGTTAAAGGTCGACATATTCTCACTGTTATACCCTGATCAATATACTATACAGTTATTCCTACCGTTATACCCCTATTAATATATTATGCTGTTAAAGGTCGACATATTTCCACTGTTATACCCTGATCAATATATTCTACAGTCAAAGGTCGACATATTCCCACTGTTGTACCCTGATCAATATATTATACAGTTAAAGGTCGACATATTCCTACCGTTATACCCCTATTAATATATTATGCAGTTAAAGGTCGACATATTTCCACTGTTATACCCTGATCAATATATTATACAGTTAAAGGTCGACATATTCCCACTGTTATACCCTGACCAATATATTATACAGTTTAAGGTCGACATATGCCCACTGTTATACCCTGATCAATATATTACGCAGTTAAAGGTCGACATATTCCCAGGGTACACCCCGAGCAATATATTATGCAGTGAAAGGTCGACATACTCCACTGTTATATCCTGAGCAATATATTGTGCATTTAAAGGTCGACATATTTCCACTGTTATACCCTGATCAATATATTATAATTATGCAGGTAAATGTCAACATATTCTCAATGGTATACCCTGATCAATATATTCTACAGTTAAAGGTTGACATATTCTAACTGTTATACCCTGATCAATATATTCTACAGTTAAAGGTCGACATATTCCCACTGTTATACCCTGATCAATATATTTGTGAACGACCGAACGACTAGATTTGTGGTGTACGTCAATTTATTCACTTTACAGAGCCAGAGGGGCTAGAAACAAATCATAACAAGCAATTACAATATAATAATAACATTGCATGAAATGGCATTGGCAAGGCTTATCAATATTACAGTATGAAATGGCATTGGCAAGGCTTATCAATATTACAGTACGAAATGGCATTGGCAAGTTTATTTGAAACACAATCTAATTTGACTATTTTACATTTGACAACATGAATGCTAACTTAATTGAATGTTTGGCATGTTAACTTACAGAACTGGCTCTTGCTTTGAGCTTGAGGGAAATGTGGGAACCAATGGTGGTGAATCTGTGGCCTAACACACTGCCTGAATAAAAATTACAATACATTTCTAAGTTGACAAAAATACCATAAATGATTGGTAAAATATCAGAAATATGTGTTGTATTTAATCAAGTAATATCTAATAAAGCATATAAAAGTAAAATAAAGAGTGGATGGCTTACCAATATGAACGATTGTGGATGATTTTGTAGATTTTCTGGAGAGGTAAAAATATATATGTGGCTATTGTAGTGACTGTAAGCAAGAGGAAGTTGCACATTTATGTGCCAGCTATTTATGTGAATTGAAACATGAAATCTATATAGTGCCATCTATAAATGCAACTATAAACTTTAAAGTGCAGTTGGTCACATCCACGCGGACAACGTTGACAGACCATCACAGTTAAATATTACTTTGTTTTTATGACCAAAAGTGTACATGGTTATACAATTCTAAAGTTAAATGTTAATGAATTCTGAGAATTATGCCTTTAAAACATATGCCATTAAAAGTAATGCTTTTTACATAAATGAATGCCAAAATAATGCCTTAATATGCCATTTTACATTTTTATACAAAATGTGTTGCCATTTACTGGCTTTTTAGCCCAAAATGTACACCCCAAAATACAAAAATAGAAAAATACCTTAACTACCTTAACTTGTGCAACTATGTACATACCGGCGCGCAAAACACTATTGCTTCAGAATATATTTGTGGTTTTAGGCCACTTATGAAATTGAAATACATTAAGAGCAAGTTGTGTTATGTAATATGTTATTCATACACTTTTTATGTGCATTTTAATTGGTTTATAATATCATACACTTTATATGTGCATTTTTAAGATCATTAATTCAAAAATGGGCTTACATGTATAAGTGATCCATATTTGTAATTAGTTATATTAGGCAACACAATAATAGTAATATTAATGTAAAAACTCCTACATTACCGACCAATTAAGATAAGTAATTATACTGTCTACCGACCAATTAAGGCAAGTAATTTTACTAACATAACCGACCAATTAAGGCAAGTAATTTTACTGATATATCTTCCCATACAATTAATACTATGTATATGTTAACCTATCAGGCTTTTGTCTAATTCGTGTTGACCCTCGCAGAGCGGATGGGTCCTCCTTCTCCCTCTGATTTTTTGAAAAAAAATAAAATTTCAAAACTGCCATCAGAACTGGAGTCATCACTGCCACTTTCAGAAGTTGTAGATTCATTTCCACTAGATACTTCATGGTCAACGTCATCAGAATCCGAAGTGTCATCATTAGATGTAGCATATAACTTCAAGTTTTTTAAATTTACAACCTGAGTATCCAGTCGGAGTATCTCCTCATCTTGCTGTTTCTTTTCATTTTGCAGCCTCATGTACGCCTCTTTGTATTTGTCCTCACTTGTTGGTGTAGCCATCCTTATGTGCGTATTGTACTCAATTTGTACCAATAAAGTATGATAGTAGTATATACATACAACTAACCTATTTTTGTAACACCAGGTATAAGTTTAAAGATGTGTAAAATAATTTGAAACACCCTAGAGTTAAAGAATAACTATATATTAACAGAGTTAAAAATCTGTGATACCTGGTATAAGTTTATATTTGTATGAAATAAATTGGGACACCCTGTAGCAATAAGGATTGTAAGTGTATCTCTAAT